AGGACCATGACATCAGGAAGATGATGCCATGACTGGCAATTGAATTGGATTTAAGTGAGGAAGGGCCGTGCAAAGTCACCAGCCTCACATTCTCCTCCAGAGCCATCTGGGTCCAGTGGCTAGATATAGATCAAGATGACCGGAGATGGCTCAGTGTCTTTTTCCATTATACCATGCTTCTCACTAACTGAGAGGATCTTCTTCCATTTGGACTTTTCCACTTTCCTAAAGGATATCTAACACAAATGCCTTTGGCTCCTGGTTTTCTCCTTCTTTTATACCTTGCCTCATATTGATAACCAGGGATCACTGAACAAAGTCATCTCTATGGTGACACCAATCATGGAATCCTCTATGGATGTATAGTTATGGATATAGATATATTAGTGGATAGATATTAATCGACATGGCGTCACCTCCCTGACGTCATGGTCCTCTTCAAGAATGAACGACAAACAGCAACCTCTGTAAGCAGAAAAGAAGCTGGCCACTAGGGGTGCTCTCTCTCGCTCTCTCTCTCTCTCTCTCTCTCTCTCTCCTTTCTCTTTTTCTTTCTTTCTTTCCCTCTGTCCACATAGGGTATCACACCCTTACCTGCAGGTGTTCTTCCTAGAAGGAATATATATCTTCAATGGCTGAAAATTTTCTTTTTTCTTTTCTCTTAAAGTCCAGCCTTAACCCCAAATCACTCTGCCTCTCATTGATTGGCCAATAAGGTCTTAGCTGGTCATTGTTTGGGCCCTGATTGGCTCAGAATGAATATAAATGGCAGCTGTTTCTGTTTTGGCCAGAAACCCTGAGGGTCTTCCCCTCCCACATCTATTTTTTTTTAAAGAGGCCATTCTTTGCCTCATTTTTATTAAGTCTTAATCACAGAATAGTCTTTGCCTTAGTCAAACTGAGACCTGTTAAAAACCTTAGTTGAAAAGGCCACGGTCTCCCACTGCATCTGGGGCCATCTCTGGTTGTCCTGATCTATATCTGGCCACTGGACCCAGGCGGCTCCGGAGGTGAAACCGAGGCTGGTGACTCTCATTTCAATCCAATTCACTGACCTGTCATGGCATCACCTTCCTGAGGTCGCGGTCCTCTTCAAGAACGAAGAACAAACAGCAGCAGCAGCCATCTACAACGAAAGGAAAAACAAATTGCTTGCATCTGTGGATGAAGTGGCTCCTACTGGTCCAGTAGCTCCGATGAAATGGACACTTGACGGGGGACAGAGAGAAGATCCTATCCCCCTGACTTGCTGCCCTTTGATATAGGTGCAGGGATATAGTCTACATCTATCCTCAGCTTTGGAACCTTCACACTTAGCCAGGGCTCAACCATCAACTTCCCTAAAGACATGGCTAACCTGCTTGCTCATTCATGTTGCTCTCTTTGACTCAACCCCAGAAGAATTCTTTTGTATTTGCCCTACATCTCAGTCAATTATGTAACTGTTAAGATATGATCTGCTGTAGAGAAACATGTGAGAAAGCCTGCCTGTTCCCTTTCACGGTTCATCAAAGCTATCCTCATTATAATATGGGCCAGTGTCAAAGATTTTATATAGGTAAAAAGTAGGCACATGGGTCAATAGTTTCTATATCTTCTTGGTCACCTATCTTGGTTAACAATACCATATGTGATATTTCTCATTCTTTTAGAAGTTTTCCCCTCTTTGCAGTATTCTGAACATCTCAGTCACTGATTGGAAAGTAGCTAAGCTAATTTGTTGTATACTAAGGTCATGCGATAGCATGTCTTTAAAAACATAATAAATATGACAAATTTGGAAACTTGGGGAGACTGATAAGAACCGATTCAGAATAAAACAAGCAGAGCTGGGGAAACAATATGCATAATAACTACAGAGATATAAAGAAAAAGAACAATAAACAAGAACTGAATTCTGTACAATTATAATGATCAAACTGGTCTCCTTTCTCTCTTTTCAGAGATGGGCGGGGTGGGGGAGGGTGGGAAAGGAGGTTCCTGTGGGTCTGAAATATGTTATGTGTTCTGTCTCACAAAGTTGATATGTTGATTAGGTAGGATGGAGGGGGATAAATTTGGAAATGAAAACTATGTGAGTACAAAAGATATCTGAAAAGAGAAGTTAAGATGGCAACTCTATAGTATGGCTCCCCAAACTAATGTTCACAGGTCTAAAATTTCATGATTACCTCATGGTAGATTTGAAGTCCACTATGAGCAGCAACTATCTTACATTTCTTTTTATCTCCTTTTCCACAGCCCCTTGCACATATTTAGATGCTCAATACTATTTAAAATGCTACATAATGCTTTTTTTTTCTAAGTTGTCATTTCCTAATACTAACCCATCAATAGAACCTCCTCTTGTAACAAAACAAATGTATATTTTGAGCACGTCTGGCAGCAGATCCTCCATTCAGATCCCCCCATTCAGTGGGAAGCATGTTTCATCATCAGTTCCTCTAGGGTCAAGATTGTTCATTACCTCAATCTAAGTCCTGAGTCCCTTCAGAGTTGTTTTCTTTTAGGTATTGTAGCCACTGTTGTTCTATTAGGCCTTCTTACCTCACTCTGTCTTGGTTCATATGAGTCTTCCCAAGTTTCTCTGAAATCTTCATTTCCATCATTTCTTGTGGTCGATAATATTCTCCTACATTTGTATATCACTATTTATTCAGTCATTCTCTGATCAATGGACATATACTTTGCCTCTAGTTTTTTGCCTTGTTTTACTATGACGAGGAGTGTTGCTATGACTATTTTATTATTTATAAGACCTTCCTATCATTAACTTCTTTGGGGTATAGTGTATGTCAATAGTAGGAATTTTTGAGTCAAAGGGTATGAAGAGCTTAATGATGTTTTCCATAAATATTTGCTAGTGGATTTCATTCCTCCATCTAAGTGGTCTGATGTCTCATGATGGCATGGAGTTGACCCTGAACCATTAAAGACTATGTCAGTCAAGAACAGGTTCTGGCATTTTCAGCTAATCAAGCAAAACATATGTCCGAGCACGGGTCACATGGTAAGTTGTGTCTGGACCAAAGGACCGGTCTAGCTAAGTGTAGAGAGGCCCATCTGTCACCAGAGATTGGCTAGTAGGTGATCATTTTCTTTGGCCTAGCAATTCATGAAATCATCTACTAGGGTCAGCCTTAGAGGGACCCCCCACACTGATGAAATCTTAGGTTGATTGATTAATCATTGGGCTTGACAAATCTTTACATCCCAGTAGCCTTGGGGAAGTTCTGCCCACGGCTCATCTGTTGTCATGATGTCACCCATGGGTGTGCCTCAGAATCAGATTATTCTCCTACTGTCCTTACCCAGTCCTTAGGGAATGGGTGGCTTGGCAAACCCTCTTTTAATTCAACAGCCCATCCAGGAAATGTCTTCTTACTTGGGGCTCTCTCTTTGAATCCCTTCTCTCTGAATTGCAGGAGAGAGCTTGAGGCCTGGCAGGGTGGCTTCACCTCAATCAACCCTCTGTTGATGGAGAGAGCCTCTGTCTCTCTTCTTGAGCCATTGTGCTTGTGAGCCTCTTGAGTGATGGGTCCAAGTCTGAGGAGGAGCCTCAGAGCAGCTGCAGCATCCTGAGACCACCCCAACCACCCCGATCACCCTGCATTCACAGAATCGGAGTGGGCTCTGTGACTCACCACCAATATAACCTTGGGCAAGGCATTCCCTCAAGGCTCAATTTCCTCATTTGGAAATGAGAGAGCTGGATGTAATGATCTCCAACGTCTCCTAAAGTCTGAAATCCTATGAACCCAAAGAAGGAATCTAGTCCAACTCATATGTCAATGGGAATCCCTTCTGCAGGTGGTCAGCTGTGCTCTCTTCAAGGATCTTCAGTAATGGGACATTCACTACCTTACAAAGCAGCCTCTTCTGCTTTTGAATCCCTGAATTTTTAGCAAGTTTTCCTTACAGAAGCCTCAAATCTAATTCGAGGCTATGGATCAAGGAAATTTAGCAGTGTGAACTATAACAGGCTACTGGCTAAGGCCAAGATGAACTCCCCATGTGGGCTTCAGTCAGTCACTTTCAGGTTCTGTGACTCAGTTTACCCATCTGTAGAAGAAACTACACCAATATATGCTTCTTATTCACACAAATGTGTTGTGAAAATGACTGAGAACTGAGAAATACCATAGAAGCATGTACCATTTTTTTTTAAACCAAGCCCTGTCAATTCCACCTTCAAAAATGGTACAGCATCCTCTCCATTCCTGCTTCTAGTACTCCAGGCCCTCCTCATCACATTGAACTATTGCAGCAGTTTTCTTATAAGTCTGTCTATCTCCACACTCTCCCCACCTACCTATATCCTTTGTAAACTTCTTACTGCTACCACTAGCAGAATAATCTCATGCGTACATCTGAGAGGTAGTGTGACATAATGGATAGATAGAGCTGGACTCAGGGTTGAATCATTCCACCCGCCCCCTACCTCCCTCCACCCCCGCCATGATAATCATGATTTCCATTTTACAAACTGAGCCCCAAAGAGGTTAGATGAATTTCCCAGAGTTACACAGTTTGTTGGCAAAACAGTCAGGATCTGATCCCAAGTTCTCTGACTTCAAATTCAACATGCCTTCTACTGCATTTGTGTAATCTTAGAAATCATATTCAGATGTGCTCATGCCTTCTCCCTCTCTAGATCATGAATACCAAGAGGACAAGGCTGCGTCATAGCTCGGTTCTGTACTTCCCCCCAGTGCCTAGTGTAACGCTCTTTACATGCTGAATCAGTGTTTGTTGTATTATGTTGTCTTCTCCATCTCAGAGAGGACACATGAAGTAAAAAGATCTGTCGGAAGCAATGTCATTCAGCAAACATTTATGAAGTAGATGCCCATCAGCTGGGGAATAGCCAAACAAACTGTGGCATGGGAATGTAATGAAACTTTGCCGTGCTGTAAGAAATGATGTGTGTGATGAATACAGAGGAGCATGGAAAGATCTATGTGGGGGCAGCGAGGTGGCGCAGTGGATAGAGCGGTTACCTGAGTTCAAATCCGGCCTCAGACCAAAACACTTGACACTTACTAGCTGTGTGACCCTGGGCAAGTCACTTAACCCCCAATTGCCTGAAAAAAAAAAAGATCTACGTGAGAAGCAGCTAGGTGGTGCAGTGGATGGAGCACCAGCCCTGGCGTCAGGAGGACCTGAGTTCAAATCTGGCCTCAGACACTTGACACTTACTAGCTGAATGACCCTGGGCAAGTCACTTAACCCCATTGCCAGGCCAAAAAAAAAAAAAGATCTACATGAGCTGATGCAGAAAGAAGGAAGAAGAGCCAAGAAAACAATCTACACAATGACTATAATAATGTAAATGGAAAGAATGACATCGCCTCAATCAAAAGTAAATGCAACACAATTCTAAAGATCAAACAGGGCCTCAAAGGAAGAGATATGAGAAGACACCCCCAGCCCACTCCCTCACGGAGATAGGATGTCCACAGGTTTTTACACATTGAAGGGGTTTTCTGACTTTTTCAATCTATTGATCAGTGGTTCTGACTTTTTTTCTCTCTCTAAAAAATATTATTCATTCTATTAGATGGCTTAGGCAGTGGTGGGGGTGGGGATATTTAGGATAAATATGGTGATAAAAGAAACAGAAACTGCCAATAAAAACTTATTTTTAAAACAAATAAACATTTAATAACAGTCTGCAGTGTGCATGCAGCACGTAGGGGCTCTGGAAAAGCTAAGTCTTTGTCCTGGTCCTAGTGTATCTTAGAGTCTAGACTGAGAGGAGCAGAGGAAGAATGGGAGAAGGGACAGGGTGGGAGGTCTGAACTGCCCAGGAATAATTATGGTACGAACCAATCCATGGTGAGCGCAGTAAAGAGCTGCAAACAAAGCCTCATGGCAGGTCCAAAGTGGGGAAGGGGGAATCAAAGAAGACTTCCAGGAAAAGGTGGCTTTTGAGCTGGGCCTTAAAGGATGCATAGGAATTCATTAGGCAAAGGAGGTAAGGAAGGGCATTCTAGGCACGGTGAAGCAAGTTAATGGAGACAGGAGAGTTCGGGGGCAGGGGTAGGGGACAGAGACCAGACTAGTGACAGACTGTGGGAGGGCTTGAACGCCAGGTAAAAGTGACTGCATCGCCGTCGTTAGGAAATAAGGAATCATTGTTGGGTTATGAGCGGTGGAGTGACGTGACCAGGTGACATGATGACAGGTATGAAGGATGGATTGGCGGGGGAGAGAGTGGGGGTGGATGACATGTTAGGAGGCTACTGCAATCGTTCAGGTGGGTGGGGTAATGAAGGCCTATCCTGGGGTGGTGGCCATGGGAATACTGAGGAATGAGAGAATGAATGAATGAATGAATGAATGAATGAGGGAGTGATGCATCGGTCTGGAGACAGCTGCTATTTAAAGCAGGGCAACAGAGCAACGTTGTTCTTCTGGGCCCAGCAGATGGCAGAAAAGTCTATTATGTAGTCTCACTAAATAACAATTCGGTCAATGACAACATTTTTTCCCTCTAAGGACATCTGACCTGTAAAGGGAATGATGCACAGCACCTTCCAGGGTACCAGGGCATCCTGGAAGCTTTCTGGCATTCCAGCTAAAGCATTTTAGATCTGCCCTAGTCTTCTTGGGGCTCTCTGGAATATGAAGGCATGTGGAGAAAAATGGGCCTGAAAAAACTGAAGAATCTTGGCTAACCTTGGAGAAGTCACTGAGTGTTCCTGAGCCTCGGTTTCCTCATCTGTTAAAATGACTGGGATTCGGGGAAAAGATCTCTAAGGTCCTATGCAGCTCTAATTCTTGTGATTTTTAAACTCATTCTTTTTTTTTACTGACTTTTCTACGTCACCTCCATTTCTGAATACGTGCATACCTCTCACGTCTCCAGCAAGTCCTCCCTTGTAACAAGGATTTCAAAGGAAAGAGAAAAGAGTAACCAAAAGAAAAACCAGCCACAACCTCAGCCACGCTAACAGGGCATGCAATGAAATCTCACAATTTCTAAGTCACCTAATCTCACTGAGCCTCAGTTTTCCTTATCTATATAGCCCTCTGGCCTTCTCCCCCAACTTGACTCTGACTAGTTGGCGAGATAGGCTGGTATGTGTAGCAGTGGGTGGGACTGCAAACTTCTGGGTTGAGTGAGACTTGTAGTGTTGTCCAGATATGATCCAAAGCAGACTCAGACGATAGTGAGGTTCTCAGGATGGGACTAGATGTCCAGCCCCCTCCCCAGAGCTGTCACAAATGCTGGAAGAAAAGGCAGCACCAGGGAGATCCCTAAGTCTGACACCAGTCACTTGGCCAGACCTGGAGCAACGTCAGAGTGGGGCCCATTAAACTTGTGATGCCAACATCCTGTGGTAATGGTTGTGAAGCATAACGAGGACAAAAGGGGAACCCCCAGTAGCGGCTGTCTCTGCCTAAGTAAGGCATCCCTAAATTCTCTGCACCACGTTACTGTCTGGGGAAGGAAGGACTCATCACCAGACCCCAGGGGTTCCTAAGGTTGCCCACAAATTTGACTCTCTAAAAGACCCGTCTTCTCTCTTCCCCCTAAACAAAGAGTTCTTTACCTTCAAGAAATAGACAACTCTTAGCCTCCTGGGCAGGGAAGTGGGAGAAAGCAAGGGAAATGATTTTACCTTGGGTATCCTGGACCAGGGCTGGAAGAAGCAGAAGATGACGATGAGAATGAGCATCTTCCCCTTTCTGGGTCACAGAGCTTCCTCACCTGCAAAATAAAAGGGTAGGGCTAGATGCCGCCCAAAGTCCTGCAGTTTAGAATAAATATCATTCACTGTCGATGCCCCAATCAACTCTTCACCGGACTGCGCCACTCTACCTGTCATCCTCACCTTCCTCCACTGCAAACTTGGCCTCTGCCCTGGGGTCCCTGGACTCTGAGAGGCGCTTTTGACTCTTATTGCTGAGAATCAGACTTCTGCTCCACTTCCCAACCATCTCCCCTGGCCAGGCCAACCTGTTCCCCATCCCTCTTTTCAGTTCCCTTTTATGTATTGTGTTTCCTCATTTAAAAAAAAAGATAAGCTGGTTGAAGGCCAAAACTGTCCTGCTTGCTTGTATTAGTATCTCCAGCCACTCAGCACAGTGCCAGGGCACATGGCAAGCACTTAATAAATGCTCGCTTGCTGTACCTATCTATCTATCTATCTATCTGTTGTGCACAACTAGTTCACTGGGTTACAGAGCCTACCTAGGACCTAGGATTTCCCAATCACCCAAAGAATCAAGACCAGCTTGATCTTATATCTCCAATGCGCATTGATGAGGTGGGACGCAGGATGGAAGCAACTCTGTTTAATTTTAACAAAGCATTCACTTAAGTAGTAAAGTAACAGGAACTTCTTCTCAAGTCAGGATGACGTGGAGCTCATGCATTTGACTCCAATCACAGAACAGACTGCTAATGACCATACAATAACTAGGAGTTAAAGATTGTTAAAGATCCATAGAATGGAGCACCTAACCAAGCGACCTTTGCTCATAGATCAGCACCCCCTGAGAGGGGCCTCCGCCCATCAGTGAGACCTCATGAACAGCCTGTGGCCCTCTACATCCTTACAGATCCCTAACATCTATCTATCTATCTATCTATCTATCTATCTATCTATCTGTCTGTCTGTCTGTCTGTCTGTCTGTCTGTCTGTCTGTCTGTCTATCTGTCTGTCTCTGTCTGTCTGTCTTTCTGCCTATCTTTCATCTAGCTATCTACCTATCTTTCTATCTAGCTAGCTATCTGTCTGTCTATCTTTCTATCTGTCTCTCTGTCTATCTATGTGACCCTGACAAAGTCATACTTTCTCATTTGTAAAAATGAATGGGTTGGACTAATTTATAAGATCCTTCCCACCTCTTACACACACACATACACGCACTACACCCATATATACACTACAAAGATACCACAAACATACACATATATAAATCTGCACATTCCTATGCATACTAATAGTATACCCAAACATTCTATACACACTCATACTACACACATGCACACACCACACACACACATATATAACACTACGTGCACACACAGTACACTATGCCCATCCACGTTATAAACATGCGCACATATACACTACACACGGACATATGTGTATATTCATATACACATTACAGACTATACATAAACATACTACATACATCCAAACACACTATACATATACACATTGTAGAATTCATATACATAACATACAGATACATACATTCCTACTTTGATGCCTTGTTTTTCTACTTTCCCTCACCTGGAATCTCCTTTTTAACTCAACTCGACAAACATTTATTAAGTGCCTACTATGAGCCCACTCTACTAAGCTCTGGAGATACAATGATGAAGATTAAACAATCTCTGCATTCAGGAAGCTTACGTTCCCCTTGAAGGAATAGAACATATAAACAGGTAAGCAAATACATCATAATTTAATGATATTAAGAACACTTAACAAGGAGGAGGTAGAGAAAGGAACAGGAATTGTAAAAAGGCTTCTTTAAGGAGATAGCATCTGAACTGAGCCTGAAAGAAAGCTAAGAATTCTAAGGAAGAGTTGAGGAAGGAATGGCAGACATGGCGGACAACAAATACAAAGACATGGAGGTGAGAGACAGAGTTCAAAAAAAAGTAAGGAGGCCAGTTTGTCTAGACTGTAGACTGTGTGAAAGGAAATAATATTGATTAAGAATGATAGATAGGTGGGGTAGAACCAGAGTGTGGAAGACTTTGGATGTCAAGCTCTTCCTATAGAAATATATAGGATTGTAGATTCAGGGCTGGATGGGATCTAAAAAGTTATCTAATCCAATCCCCTCTTTTTTTGTAAATTAGGAAATTGAGGCCCAGAGAAGTTAAATGAATGATTTGCCAAGTAGATAATAAATGGCTGATCATGGATTTGAACCCTGGTCTTATCTACTTCTCTACTACAGGTCCAATTGTCTTCTCACTAAGCCACACTATTCAAGGACCAGTTCAAACCTCACTCTTCTCACTCACACACGCACTCAAAAATACTCTATTGTGGGTTGGGTCTCTAAGGAAAAACATGGAGGTTGTTGGGGAAAAAGGTGAAGGAAAAGGATGGAGAAGGTGTAGTAGAAAGAGCATAAGTCTCTTTTCCTTACTCCTTAGTTTTCTCTGCTTTAAAATGATGTAGATGGGTTAAATTATCTCTAAGATCCCTTCCAGCTTGAAAACCTAACATGAATGCAATGAGCAGAGAAGACAACTTGCACAGCAGCTCTAAGGGAGAAAGGGTTGCAGAGGTGGAAAAGAATGAAGCTGGAATACAGGGAAAACCCCTGGGATAGATTAAGGGCTTTTCGGCCTGTACATTCTCTGGCTAACTTCTGGATCATTAAGCAGCATCCCAAGTCAATCTCCTATTCTCTTCTTTGTCAGAGCATCCCTCATGTGTACATACTTCTTTTGAAAAAAAATTTTTTTTTTAATGTATTATATGACTGTCACCCACTCACCATTCTGCCTGGGTTCTTCTCTTCTTCTCAGGTCACCATTCTGGAATTTCTGTCCTTCCTTTTCCATCCCTATGCAAATAAGCAAACCTTTCTGAAGATTTTTTACTGTTAGTAACCAGAGGAAACTGGATGAGCAAAAAAGAGATATCAAGTTGTAGAAATGCTCAAAGCACCTTAGTAATAGCAAACCTGAGCCTTCCCTGGATTAGGTAGCAAGGCTCGAAACCTTGCTTAGCTCTCTTTACTCACTTATTTTTCTTCTTCTTCTGAAACTAAGTCCTTCTTTATCTCCTGGCTAGCACTCTAGAGTTTTCCCTTCCTTTCAGTATGGAAACCCCTTTTCTGCTCCCTTTTTTCTTTTCAGCTCCCTACCCTTTCATTGGCAAACTGTCGGGAAGGGACAAGAGTTGATTGTCCAAGAGAACCTCATTGGCAGTGCAGCGTAGATGGAATCTTTTTTTTTTTTTTGGTGAGGGCAATTGAGGTTAAGTGATTTGACCAAAGTCACACAACTAGTGAGTGTTATATAGCTGAGGCTGGATTTGAACTCAGGTCTTCCTGACTTCAGGGCCGGTGCTCTATCCACTGCACCACCTAGCTGCCCCAAGACTGAATCTTAATGTCCACATACTATTTAGTCATCTTAGCTGGTTTCTAATCTGAGAATGCAGAAGTCAGAAAAGATGCTGCTGTAATTCTGGGAGAAAAGACCAGGCTCTGAATTAGAGTAAGAACTGTAAAAATAGAGAGGAAGCGGTCCAATGTGAGCTATTTCATGTAGATCTCACAGTGGCCTGGTTGGGTAGAGCCAACAAGAGTGAGTCATGAAGAATGGCTTTGAGATCAGTGATAGGGGCATTGCTCACCTTTGCAGGCTGGAGAACTGAGGAGATGTCAGCAGTAACACATCCAATTTCAGATATCTCTTTAGAGCATTGGATCTGGGGGGGAAAGTCCATAAAGCCACAGAATGTCAAAGCTGGAAAGGACCTTAGAATCAAAGACTGTCAGAACATGAAACATGGACTTGCAAGAACTGAGAACAATAGAATATTAAATGTTAACACAGAGGACAGAATGTCAGAGCATAAGAGACCTTTTAAGATGAATAGTTCTAAAGAATTTATCTGACCTTTCCACTCTCCCACCCAAGAAGCTTCAGTGGCTCCCTAGGGTCTAGACTTGAAGAGATTAAATACAAATTCCTTTATGCAGCATTTAAAATTTTCACAATCATGCCCCAGGCTACCATTCTAAAGTGATTACACATTAACTCCTTCTCAGGCTTTCTTCAGTCTTCTTAGTCCTGGCAGACTCTTTGTCACTCCATTTGGGGATTTTCTTAGCCAAGGCACTGGAGTGATTGGCCATTTCTCCTTCTCCAGCTCATTTTACAGATGAGGAAACTGAGGGAAATAAGGTTAAGTGACCTGTCCAGAGTCACATAGCTAGTAAGTGTCTAAGGCCAGATTTGAACTCCAGAAGATGAGTGTTCCTGATTTTAAGTCCAGTGCTCTATCCACTGCATTACTTAGCTGTCTAAGCTTCAATCAAGCTGACCTCTTTGCTGTTACCCATTGGGCCTGTAGTCAGAAAGACCAGAGTTCAAACCTAGCCTAAGACACTTACTAGTTGTGTGACCCTGGGCAAGTCACTTAACCCTGTTTGTCTCAGTTTCCTCGTATGTAAAATGAGCTGGAGAAGGAAATGGCAAACCACTCCAGTATCTTTGCCAAGAAAACCCTAAATGGGGTCACAGGAGTTGGGCATGTTTAAAAACAATGGAATCCTTAGGCAGGCATTCAATCTTCACCTGTTTCCCAGGTCTGCACCCTTCTTCCTCTGCAGTTCTGCCTTCTGTAAAGCCTAAAGGCTTTTGTGTCTCAGCTCAAGTGATGGTTCCTTCAAAAGGCCTTTCCTGATGCCCGATTGTTAGTCTGGCCCCACCCTGTCATTATGTATTTATTGTATACCTATCTTGTATTTACTTATTTATAAAGATGTCTTATCTCAGTAGAGCAGTGATGTCCAACTCAAATAGAAACCTGGACCACTTTAAATGAGCATCCCTGAAGCTGCATATCCACTTAGAAAAGCACATATTAATCTATGATTTGTTGTATTTTTACTTATTTTGTTAAATATTCCTCAATTACATTTTGAGTTGCTTTTGTATTCAAAAGTGTTGCTGGGGTCCGCTGTGGCAGTGGCAGCAGGAGTAGTGGCGGCAGCACAATTTCTGCCACAGCTGCCAGGCTGGAGGCGGCAAGATGGCAGACGGATTTGGCAGCAGAGAAATGCAGTGACCAGAGGCTGCTCTTGATATCCTTGTCTCACATTCAGGTGATCATGAAGAGCTCCCCGGAGGTGTCCAGCATCAATCAGGAGGCACTGGTGCTCACGGCCAAGGCCACGCATGGAGGAGTTGAGATGGGAGCAAGAAGTCCAGCCAGCTTTACAACTCCCAACTCATTGGCTTCATTATCTGGTTTGCAGTGGTGTAAATTATCAGAACTTCAGATAGACCCATATTCAAATGGAAGGAACTCCTTGTTCAGTATCTAGCCACCTGTTCCTATGAACCTGGCAGTGGAAAAGAGAAGAAAGCACTTATTTACAGTGACTTATCAAATACTGCAGAAGAGTCAGCAACCTTTCAATTTCTTGCAGATATATTACCAAAGAAGACTTTAGACAGCAAATACTTGAAAATGCTTAAAGGAGAGAAGGGGTAAGGAGAGGGAGAAGTAGATGAGGAGGAGGAGTAAGATGAAGATGAAGAGGATGAGAGTGAGGATGAAGAAGCTGAATCTTAAAACATAAAATGCAACACTCTATAATTAACCTGAATTGTGCTACCAGCCATGCTTTTGCACTCGGTCCCTTTTATTCCCACAACTTCTCTATGACTCCCAATAGGTCCTATTATTTTTAGGATAGAATTTTATATCCACTCCATCCTGAGAAGTAAGTAAAACCAAAGCTTCTAATCTACATTACATTTCAAGGTGTCACCGAGCTGTATATTTATTCTAATATCTTATTTGTCTTATTTGGCATTGAACTTCTATATCCTTAAGGAAAAAAAACATGAAATGCTTATCTTTTTCATTAATTGATATAGATTTAAGTTCTAGTGATAGTAAATGTAAATTAATATATGTATATTATGAAATGATTTCATTTCTGGACCATATTTATTTTCAGTTGAATATGTAGTTTTTTTTTCAGTTAGATATGTAGCACATAGCATATTACATATTAATTTCTCTATAGTAAGAAATTTTTACCTTTTGATAAAAGAGTGCTATATTTTTTTACTATAAAAGATTTTTTGATTCTATATTTTTAAAAAAATTATACATAACTCCCCCCCCAATAAAACGATCCATTAAAAAAAAAAGAGTTGCTAGGGGCAGCTAGGTGGCACAATGGATGGAGGGCTGGGCCTGGAGTCAGGAAGACTCATCTTCCTGATTTCAAATCTGGTCTCAGACACTTACTAGTTGTGTCACCCTGGGCAGGTCACTTAACCCTGTTCACCTCAGTTTCCTCATCTGTAAAAATGAGCTGGAAAAGGAAATGGCCAACCACTCCAGTATCTTTGCCAAGAAAACCCTACATGGGGTTATGAAGAGGCTGCAAGACAGAAAACAACAACAAAGACAGAAGAAGAGAGGGCAGAAAGATCAGAGGATTGAAGATTTAGAGCTGGAAGGAAACTTGGGGATAATAAATTCCAACCTCTTCATCTTACAGATGAGAAAACTGAGGTCCAGAGAAGTTAACTGATTTGCCCAATATCACACAGTAATTATCTGAGGCAGAACCTGAAGTTGACTCTGGGTCTGGTGCTCCATCCCTGGAGCACTGGTCAGGGACACAACAGACAAGAAGATAATCTCACCTGTAGGTGCAAGCCTCTAGGTTGTCTTTGGACAACCTGGCCCATGTTGCTACTGGCATCCTGGGGGTAGTTGCAGCACGTGGCTGAGGACATGCAGTTAATCAGTCAATCAACATATATTTGTTAAGTGACTACTATCTTTGGGGTATTATATGAAGTATTAGAGATAAAAGGACAAAACTTAAATCAATCCTACCCTCATGGAGAATAGAGGGCATCTTCCATGTACATCTATGTCCACAGATGTATGGCACTCTCTGAGCTACCCGCTTCAACTTGTACTCATTTTCTTGGGTTGCACCCCAAAAGAGCAGCTGTTAAATAGAATCCTAAGGGTACCCTGCAGGCTGTTCAGTCATTTTTTCAGTCATGTCCTACTCTTCATGACTCCATTTGGAGTTTTCTTGGCAGAGATACTGGAGAGGTTTGCCATTTCCTTCTCTAGCTCATTTTACAGATGAGGAAACTGAGGCCAAGAGGGTTAAGTGACTTGCCCAGGGTCACACACCTATTAAGTGTCTGAGGCCAGATTTGAATTCACAAAGATGAGTCTTCCTGACTCTAGGCCCAGCACTCTATCCACTGTACCACCTGGCTGACCATTAGTACGCCCTGGCTACCAATTCTAAAACTATTGCCTATGATCTCCCCAACCAATGTGTTTCCCCTTAACAATAAACCAGGAGACACAATAGACTCTTAGCAAAGGTATTTATTAAGGATCTAAAAATAAGAGGTATAGCTAAAAATCAAGCAATTCACCACTCAAGTATCACAGGGCCCTAACGCCAGGTGTGGTCTTTCTATTGGGTAGATTGCTCAGCCTCGCTCTTCTTTCCCTTCCCCTCTCCCTCTCTTTCCCTTTCTCCCTTCATCTCTCTCCTTCTCTCTTTTCTTTTCTCTTTCCATTTCCGGCTCTCTTCTTCCTTCCCTCCCCACCTCTCTCCAGGCAATTTTCAGCCTGTCCAATCTCAGGCTTCTCCTCTAACATCATCAAAAACAATGTTCACCCTTTGTGAAGGACTTACTGAGAGTTAACATCTTGTTCATACATTAGAGGCTTTTTGATTGATTATATCCCTTATGAAACCATAGACAGAATATATACAAAATTAATAGAAAACAGTTTTGGGAGGGAAGGTGTAAATATTGGGGGGGGAGGTACATCAAGAAAGCTTTCATACAAAGAGGGGCATTGGAGCTATGTTCTTAAAAAAAAAACCCAAGGATTCTAAAAGACAGAAAGAAAGAAAGAAAGAAAGAAAGAAAGAAAGAAAGAAAGAAAGAAAGAAAGAAAGAAAGAAAGAAAGAAAGAAAGAAAGAAAGAAAGAAAGAAAGAAAGAAAGAAAAGAAGGAAGACAGAAAGAAAAGAAGGAAGACAGAAAGAAAGACAGACAGAAAGAAACAAAGAAACAAAGAAAGACACAGACAGACAGAAAGAAAGACAGACAGTCAGACAGAAAGACAGAATTACAGGTAGGGGGAACAGCCCATGCAAAGACAAGGAGATGGGAGGCAGAGTATCAGATGTGAAGAACAGTGATCAAGTCAGCATGACTTATCACACAGAGTCCACGAAGAGCTGTTGTTCAATTGTTTCAGTCATGACCAACTCTTTGTGACCCCTTTTGGGGTTTTCTTGGCAGAGATACTGGAGTGGTTTGCCATTTCCTTCTCCAGCTCATTTTACAGATGAAGAATTGAGGCAAATAAGTGACTTGCCTAGGGTCACATGGCTATTAAGTGTCTGAAGCCCTAAGGAAGATGAGTCTTCCTAACCATAGGCCCAGCATTCTATCCACTGTACCACATTACTGGTAGCAATGTGTAAGACTGCTAGAAAGTTTGGAGAGGACTAGGTTGTGAACAGCTTTAAATGACAAAGAAAAGAATTTCTATTTGATCCTGGAGGTAACAGGAGCCATTGGAGTATATTGAGTAGGGGGATAGAGAATGATACAGTCAGACCCGAACTTTAGAAAAAATTCACTTTGGCGACTACATGGAAGATGGATTAGATTGGGAGGGAATTAATTCAGGGAGACGAGTAGGATGTTATTGCAACAGTCTAGGATAGTGATTCCCACTGATTCTCAATGACGATCCATGGGTTCACAACAAAAATTCTTCAATGGCACCTTAAGCAGTAAATTACCTAAATTATGCTACAAATGGGCAGCTAGGTGGTTCAGTGGATAAGGTGCAGGGCCTGGAGTCTGACTGCTTCTCAATAAGTACAACATGTTCCTTCTATTTCTCAACCTGTCATCAGACTGTTTCTAAACCATCACAAGGGTCCAACATTTGTAAATCAATTTCCAATGGATGGACCAATGTATGCACATACCCTCATTTTTTTTCTGTACATTGTACTAGAGTAGGCCCTTTTTGTTACCCTCTCTCACCCTATAGTGACGCCTCATTAGCTGTGTAATCACAAGATCAAGATGTTACATTCTTGCAGAGAAAATATCAGATTATTTGAAAACCATGATCACTACGCTTATACTTTACAAGTCATCTTGAAACCATCATAAACCATCTCATATTCAACAAAATGTGTAAGATAAATAAATTTAATGTGGTCTTGCAGATAATAGAAAGGATTAGAGGACTTCCTGGATTACTTCTTTTAATTTTTACAGAATGTCCCACATAAAATAAAGGGTAAGAAGGGTTACTAAGGGGGAGCTATTCTAGTATGGTGCACAGAACACAAATGAGGGTAAGTGCATACATCTGACCATTCATTTGAAACTGATTTATACATGTTAAACCTTTGTGCTTTAAGCATTTTATAACTAGTTTTAGAATTTTATATTTAAAGTTTTCATAGTTATAGGTAGAATAAAATTTTATATTTTATCATTAGAATTACATAATGCCAATTTTAATTTGGAGGTTTTGAGACAAAAGCTATCATTATAGTTATTATAAACAGTTAAAGAATGTATCTAGAATAATCACAATATTATTAGCATATTAATTTCCCTTGGGGTTCACAACATATTTTTTGCTGTTGTTATAAAGGGATTTGTGCAACAAAAACTTTGGGAACCACTGTTCTGGGCTGAGAGGTGATGACGGCCTGAACTACGTGGTGGCTACTCGATCAGAGTCTAAAGGACTTAGTGAGAAATACTATGGAGACAGAAATGACAACATGTGGCAATTGATTGGGTATGTGGGGTGAGTGAGAATGAAGCACAGAAGATGACACCAGTGTTGTGAAACTGAGTGACTGGAAGGATGGTGCTGCTCTCCACAGTCACAGGGAAGTCTAGAAGCAAAGTGGGTTTGTGGGGAAAGATAGGAAGTTCTGTTTTGGCATATTGAGTTTAAATGCTCATTAGACATCAGTTCTGAAGAGTCAAATATGCAGTTGGTGATATAGGACCGGAGCTCAGAAGACATGCTAGGGCAAGATATATGGATCTGGGAGTCATTTGCTTGGAGATAATAAACTAAACTATAGAAACTCATGAGGTCACCAAGAGGGAAGAGGAAGGAAAGGGAATTGGCATTTATATAGCAACTACTATGTTCTGAGTACTATGTTAAGTGCTTTACAAATATTTTTTCATTTGATCCAAGACAAAGAGTACAGAGGGAAAAGAGGGTTCAGGACAGAGCACCGGGGAGCACAGCTAGTGTATCCAGTATAAGTGATGATTAA